TTGAAATACATTTCAAGAACGAGCGTGAAAAATATATACTATGTATATTATTCATATACGGAGCACGCGGACGGCTGATGTAACATAATTATGTTAAACTAACCAAAGTGTGTTAAATCAGTGAGTAAGGCGTTTTAATAAACATTTTATTATAGCTGTAAAATAACATAGGATAACAGCCGTCTACAACGGAGGTCAAACGGACCGGTTTTGAAATTGGACTTCAAGTTCAGAACTGGTTATTCACCTCTCTTGGCAGTCACCGTCGCGTTTTTTTTTTTAAAGGAATTTTGTGCGTGCACCGCCCGCAGGTTGCCGACTGCCATGAGATCACAGCGGGATCAGCTTTATGGTCATTTTTTTTTTCTGTCGTCTATTGCCGTAGCAAATCTACGACGTGCGATCATAAATTTGATTCTAGTTCAGAGATTTTATCAACAAGAAAAAATAATGAATGAGATCGTGAGCTTCACTTGGCGTCGGCTCAAGTAGTCAATAATGGACGATAAAATTTAAAAAAATGTTTATCGTTTGCCTCTTTAAATACAAATAAAAATTATACAAGTTTAAAAAAACCAGTTCATCCATTCATRTACAAATGAAAAATAATATCTCGTGATAACATAATATAGAAAACGTTCTTATAAAATTATTTATTAAAAACTGGAAAAATAGCCAACAAATTGAATACACTAAATATAATATATTATAATGTATTATTTTACTCAAACATTTTAATATTTTAAATYTTACCTGATTTGTTAGCATTTGAAATAAGAGTACTCCAGCGGACCACCAATCCACAGCGTGATTATAATATAGTTCAGGATCTAAAACTTCTGGAGCTATAAAAAAAAACTATATATTATGTACATTATTTTAAATATTTTTAAAATAACTAACCCATATACTGAGTAGTTCCACAAATAGTAGATGTATGACAGCCTTGTGGAAGCCATTTAGAAAGACCAAAGTCAATCAATTGAAGATGCCCATAATCATCTAATAATATATTTTCTGGTTTTATATCTCTGTATATAACTCCAGCATTATGTAGAAAATCTGTAATAAAACATTCTTAAGTTTATTAAAAATAATATACCTAACCCATTTTATTAGTATTTTTTTTTAYTAAAAAAATTGAAATTATGTCAGTTCTTATTTTCTTTTTTCATTCATGTTTGAATTAAAAAAACCCTAAAGTTGATAATTAATTGTATT